GGCTTAGTATTGATTTATAAATTGTCACTTTATTGTACAGTGACAATTTATTGGCCGGCTTAAGAAGCCATGACATCTTTGCGCTTTTGGTCATTACAGTCTTTTTGACCATCGTCGTGTGCATGTTAAATGTAAGCCTTCTGTCTAACACTACGCCCAGATATTATTGTACGGATTCAACGCTTAAATAAATAAAAATAAAAAAAATTAAATTTAAAAAAAAGTTTTCATTTCATGTTAGCCTAATAACTAAATAAAAAATATACAAAAATATAAGTTTTTATTCCTAAAATTCGCAATCTCTATGCAACAGCACTGTGAACCATTTAACTCGAGATCATTTCGAACTCTTGTGAGACGAACTCCTATCTATTATTTTTGCGTTTAATTTTTCTACTAATAAGTATGTGTAAGCTTGTTCAACATTATCAACACTTGTTTCCTCTACAACTCACCGTTACAGTAATCACAGTACATTAGGTTCCACTGAATGTAATACATTGCTCAAAAATTATATGTTAAAGTGAAGAAAAAGAGTATAACATACTGATATATATATATATTTTTTTTTTATTAGAATTCTTTTATTGCAGCATCTTGTCTTAGACTGTTTATGTGTGTCCTCGCTGCAGTACCCCAAATGGGGATAGCGTATGTAAGCGTAGGAACAACGATGGCATTATAAATTTTTATTTTGCTCCATAGCGATAGCTTGCTGGAGGGTCTCAGCATCCAATCCAGTTTTTTGATTTTCATCCTGGCTGTGTTAACTGCCTGCGTGATGTGCGCACTATAGGTCAGTTTTTATCTAGTGTTACACTGATATATTTAACTTTGCTGACCTTCGGTATTTGCACTCCCAGAGTTACACCAGGGCAGTCTCCTCTTCGCGCTGTAAAGCTTACGTGAGCTAACTTCTCTGCATTGATGGTTATGCACCACCGTTTTGCCCAGCACCCAAATGCGTCCAGGTACCTCTGGAGGCTTTCGCTAGCTTCTTGTGCAGATTGAGATCTCGACAGGATGTCAGTGTCATCTGCATACGTTGCTATCATACTGATATTTAAATTTATCAATTTAGGTAGGAGAAGGTTAATAGCACAGATTACTAGTGGGGAGTGCCTGACTTGTAAATACCCTGCATCTTAATAGGTTTATTTCGGAGAACATTATATCATTGAGTAAGTCATATATGTATAATGTAGTCGATATATGATACACTTATATTACCAATAATTAATCTGAGATACAAGGTCGTTAATCGAGTGAAAAGAAGCTCTGAGTGCTTCCTTATAAATATATAAAAATGAAGTAACTCTACCTAGAGAACAACGTACAAATGTGCTTAATCAACTAACAATTTTAAAAATATGTACTGCTTGTAAATTTCAAATATAGATACATTCTATATGCAGATATTCCCATTTTCTTATTCAACTTAAGAATAAATATATTTATAGCTAACCATATTCAAGTTAGGAATAAATATCATATCTATAGCCATTTAACCTTTTCAACTATACTATTAGCCTATATTATGTCTATCTAACTTCGAGACAAACTTTAGCAAATCTAATCAAGTTTCTAGCATTTCAAACTCTAGTAATCGTAAGTTATACCATTTATATTGACTTTTAGTGATTCATTCGCCTTGCTCAATATTTCAAATTGTTAACATCGTAGACTTCCTTGGTGCTGCACAGGAATTTATATTGGGGATGGACTCCAGTGGTGCACTTGCTGGCCGGTGCGGAGCAGGAGTTGTAGATCTTGACGTCAATTATATTCGTTGTGGCATAGTTGCAGGCCATGAGGAAGGCCTTGTAGGACTGGCCCTTGACCGAATAGGTGGAGACGGCGCAGCCAACGTGCGTATTGCGATCGGCGACCAAGACGGTGAAGTGGCCAATGGTGGGGCCTTTGTAGTTGGCTGGGAAGGAATCGATATGGGACTGCTTCGCATTGGAGACCTCGTTGTACCACATGTCCACGGCGCTGATGGCATTGGCGGTTGTGTTCAACGGATTGAAGTAGCCGATCCAAGCCAGATTCTGGCCAGCCCACTCGAAGCTGTCCGTCTTGCGGCAGGCGTCGTGACGCATCTCACAGCTTCTCACATTGAGGGAGGCCAAATAGGCCAGCTCGTCATCCCACTGCATGGTGGCCATGCGGCAGGCGGGACTCAGTTTGCTCTCCCCGCCGCCGGCAATGAAATTACGATACTCATTGTGCTTGTCCACGATCACGTTCCTCTCGGCAGCCGAGAGATTGACCAAAGCTCTGTCGCTGGGACAAGCCGAGCCCCAAGCCTGACGATAAAATTGTTATAAATAGAGCCACAAACATTCCATTACCATTCCCATTCACACTCACCCCATTGTTGTTGCAGCCAATGTTCTTGTTGTTGCCGCAGCTCTTCTTGCAATAGTCCGTGCCACAGGCGACGCCCAGCAGCAGAGCCACAACTGTTATCGCTAGGATATTCCGCATGTCTAGCATGAATCTCAACTGTTGGCGGCACTGGGAGGTCTCATTGCTTTTATGCTCATTGCGCGCTCTGAAGTTCTTTATCTCTATCTACACACATGCATACGCACACAGCCTCATACCATATAGCTGGCGTAACAATTGATCAAATATTTATCACAGCGTTGACTCAGCTCTCTGTTCTCGCCAAGATGTGTAAAGTCTAATTGCTAAATGGAACTCAGTACGGCGGACATACAATTAAAGACGTCATTAGCAGCCGCAGATAATGTACTCTGATAATTAAACAAATTCTCCACCCAGAAGAATGGAGCAGACGTATTATGAAGAAACTGCTAGATGCAGGGCGAGATGGCAAAGAAACGGTGTGGAGAGAGTACGGCGGACACGTGCCACCGTTACATTTGCTTGGCCAGCGCAAATGTTGACCATATCGAAACGCTTAACAAGCAGCAACACTAAGAAAAATTGAATGCAATAAAATTCCAATAAAACTTGTTGAGACACTCAAAGGTGAAGGAATCTGATTTTTATAGAATCTTAGGCTGATAAGCGATAAGCAATGCGATGCTACATATAAGCGATAACTATCGCAGCGATGCCATGACAGAGTGAAAGCTTATGCACTCCATAAAGCCATATAGGCTAAATGCAATGAACATATCCCTCTCTTTTGCATCTCAGCGGCAATCTCTCCTCTTATTGTTTAGCCACCACAGTTGCAGCAGTCTAGGACGACATTTCTTGGCTGCAGCTTTGAGGTGTGGCGCTTGTCCAAGATGATGATAATGATGATGAACAAGTAGGAAGGCTCCAGTCGAGACTGCTCGACTAGGAGATACCCTGAACCCTCTAAGCTGATACTATCTACTCATTCTGCACTTCTTTTATGCACATGCACATGCATTCACACGCACGTATAGCGTCTTTTAATGCTTAAATTTATTGTCATTATTTCGCATTTTTTTTTCGGCACGTCGTAATATCCGGTGATTGACTCAAAAATATGAAAAAAAAAATCATCGGGATAAGCGGATTGACATTAAAAGCGGAGACGTACTGAGCAGAGGCTCTTTCATATAAGTTTGTATGGGGACCAACCAACATCGAATTTTCGTCGACATAACCGGTTGAACGCTTTAAGCGGAGTCGTTATAACCGGATTCCACTGAATGAATGTATTTATCAGTGATCAGTATCCTTGCTTGTGTGCGTAGTAGCGACACAAATGCTGCTAAGACAAAAAGAGAGAGAGAGAGAGAGAGTGAGTGAGTGAGAGACGATCTGCAATGCCAAAAAAAATCAACAAATTTATTTTTTTTTTTTTTTTTTTTATTTATTTTTTTTTTTTTTTGCTCCTTCTGGTTAAAGCGTCCACCGGGTATAGAGACGTAAAATCGTCGGTCCCTTGAGTGTCGCTATAACCGGATTCCACTGAATTTAAAACTTATACATTTAACCAAATGAAATGTTGTTAACATCGTAGACTTCCTTGGGGCTGCATAAGAATTTATATTTGGGATTGACTCCAGTGGTGCACTTGGTTGCCGGTTTAGAGCAGGCGTCGTATACCTTGACACCATACAGGTTGTTTGTTGCATAGTTGCAAGCGATGAGGAAGATCTTGTAGAAGTTACCCGAAGACGAATAGGTGGAGGCGGCGCAGCCAACGTGCGTATTGCGATCGGCGGCCATGACGGTGACATGGCCAATAACAGGTCCATTGTATACGGCGGGGAAGGACGTGACGATGTCCCTGTTGACGTGGGGTAATTCGTTGTACCACATTTTAAAGCACACTGAAGCTTTGTCCGTTACATTCAGTACTCCGTTATAGCTGACCCAGGCCAAATTCTGGCCGGAGTACTGAAAGGCAGGCGTGTTGTGGCAGTTGTCGTGGGTCATTGTACAGGTCTTGACGTTAAGGGATGCCAGATAGGCTAGCTCATCGTCCCACTGCATGGTGGCCATCCGACAAGCCGCTGGCAGTCTATTGCCACTGCCGCCGGCAATGATGTTTCGGTATTCATTGTGATAACTCAAAATCACTTTCTTCTCGGCCGCCGAAAGGGAGACCAAAGCCCTGTCCTTCGGGCATGAGGCTTTCCAGTTCTGTAAGCAAAATGACAATATTGATAGACCCATAGGTAATTGCTATATGCGATTCACGCTCACCCCATTGTGATTGCAGCCAATGTGCTGGATTCCGGGGCAGTTGTACTTGCAATAGTTCGTTGCGGAGGCGACGCCCAGGCAAAGCCCAAAAATAATAGGTACAAAAATATTTAGCATTGCAATGAAACAGCCCAGCTGCAGGCAGATCGATGACTGATCGCTAACTTTGTTTCAACAGTGGCGAATGTGACGGATTAGTTAATGTGCGTGACGTGATTTATCACAGATTTAGTTCCATAGGCGATGGCAGCTCAACTCATCGACTGCTTCGCACTCTACTACATACATACAAACATGTAAGACATACAAAATTAAAAAAAATAAAAAAAACAAAATTCTTAATTGCATTGATTTGTGTTTTATTTTTTATTAGGGCTGTCAAAGACGCAGCTTATACGTTATAGACTTCTGCCACCTTGCAGAGACCCGCATAGTTGATATTCGTGCCCGTGGTGCAGCCAGATGCGGTTGCGCCACTCTCATAGACGGCTTCGCCAATCCAGTTGGTCGCGGCGTAGTTGCAGGCCAAGAGGAAGTTATTCCATATGCCATTTTTGTACCTGGCAGCTGCACAGCCCACGGCAATGTTGTAGTCCCGAGCCATGGCAGTGAAGTGACCAATAGCCCTGGAAAGAGTTCGAATACGAGATATACATGCAAATGAAATGGAATTGTGATTGTGTCAATTGGTGGGCACTTACGGTCCAGACCAGTTATTTGGATAGCTTCTGATAACATTCATGTTGGCATCCTTACGCTCATTCCACCACATTTTTATGGAGGAGGTCAACAGTTCCTGGATGGTGCGAGCTGCTCCATTGCCAGAGTAGCTTACCACAGCCAAGTTCTGGCCACTGGCCTTAAACTTGTTCGTGTTGTGGCAAGCGTCGTGCTTCATCTCGCACTGGCGCACATTGAAGGCGGCCAGCTTAGCCAGCTCGGGACTCCAGCGCATGGTGGCCATTCTTCTGGCTGGCTGGTATTTGGCCAGCTTGCCCAAGGCCAGATTGTTGCGCCTCACGTTGTGCAAACGCACCACATGTTTTCTCTGTGCCAGATTCAATTCGATGAGCTGGGGTGCCGGACTGGTCGGACACTTGGCAGCCCAGGCCTAGGAATGGGCTTATTAATTATCTGCCATCATGTCGACAGGACTCAAAATTGACCTACCCCATTGTTGTTACACGCAATGTGTTGACTACTTCCACACAGGCCGGCGGCACAGTAGTCTGTCTGTCCGAGGACCCCAGACGCGCCAGCGCTCACTAAAATAAAGGCTAGAACAATTCGAAGCATTGCAAAACAGATAACTGTCGATGTATCTCGGCTCCGGGCTTATATAAGCTGAAAAAGCCATTTATTGCCAAAAAAAAAAATTTGGCAAGGCATATATTATTTGCTATGTAAATAGTTATTAAAAAGTTAAGTCAACAAGCCAAATGTTTGTCCGGAACATACGTAAGAAAGACCTCCAACTGTGTCTACCACACATCTGGATTTCATCGATGGATGACATCAAACACAATGCGAAAACTATTTTGCCAAAAACCCCAAAACAGTTGAATTCAATAATTAATAATTACTTTACCAGAAACAAGTCCGAAATAAAAGCAAAAATGCTTGAGTCACTCCAAAAAGTCCTCCTTAGTCGTATGCCTATGATGTAAATTTGGTGTATACCAACGTGTAATTTATTAGATATCTATAAATCTAGAAGCTGACCAAAGCAATATGTATCTAAGGTATGTTTCCTATAACTAAGAATCTTTGGATAGAACGGAAAATTTTTGGACAATAAAGAGAAATAGTTTGTTAGATAGATTGTTAGATAGAAATAGATAGTTGATAGACTGCGGAGGTTTCTGTTAGCTAAATAGATATATGTAAAGGCAATCATAACTTAAACTGAAAGTGCATATAAAAGTTTAGATCTTTTTTTCTTTTATAATCATCGGATGGCTCCTTTTTATAGTCCTGCACACTGTTTATTAACATTATATCTTGACTCTTGTTATTATGTACGCAATATCTTGTTGTTTGCATCGCAAATAATAACAGAGCAAGCACCCTATCGAAATAAAAGCTAATCTAAATCGAAAACAGTTATTTTTTTTCTTAAATATCTTTTTGATCTGCGTTTAAATCGGCGCAAAGGTGTATATAATACGGAAGTATCTTAAGTAATCTAAATATTATACAAATATTACTGTTTCTCCAATTGCCATATGGCAATCAAAAATCTGGTGGGAAGAGTTAATGGGCCACAGATTTCGTTTTTAGATTTTAAGCAATCACAGAGGTTAGGGCCAATCAGAGCAGCAAAAAATTTAATGGATATACTTGAATCTAAGTGAAGCTCCGTACGTTCCTTACCAACAATTTTGGCAGCCTCTGCTCACATTGAAATAAAACCTCCCCGCTTAGCAATAAAAATACTTGAGATTTGTAACATATTTGATATGCTGGCATTTAGTTATATGTACTTGTAAGTTTTTATTATGGGTCTTTAATTGTTGCCGTACTCAGCTATAAGTAGTTTACTGTTTGTTTCTCTTCGCACATAGGATTCGTATATGCGTGTATATAATATTTAAAATTTATTTGTTCTTTATATATTTTCTTCTTTTTCTTTTTTTTTTTTTTTGAGTAGATTACATGGATATCATTAATCGGTACAGAAAAATAAATATCATGCATCCAGTGTTGCATCTCTTTTCTCTACTTTTTGTCTCTGTCTGTCTCTATTTCTCTCTTAGCTTATTGCATCTCTATGGTTCTGTATATATATATATATATATTAGGTATTTATTGTGTATATATTTTTGCGTAATTTCTCTTTGATTCTATATAATTTAGTGGTCTGCATAAGTTGATCTGTGGGCTGTTTTTTGTTTTTGTAGCTATTTGCTTCTCTAGGTTAAATTTTCATTTGTTGTTACATAATTACGTAATATGTATAATAATATTTGCGCTCACTGGCGTTGTCATAAATTGTACACACAAAATATGGGCTTTTTTTGTATTCTAATCTTTGTTTGTTTGTTGTTCTTTATTTATTTATTTTTTGTTTTGTTTTTTGTTTTTTATTTTTAATATCTGTTCTAGTTGTCTGTCAAAACAGCTATCAACAATATCTTTGAGTTTCCCATAGAAGCAGTGAGTTGAGTTACAATACATTCAAAGTTTATAGTTGAAAACATTTGATATACGGTTATATATGCTGTATATTGAGATAATATGCACTTATATACATAGCTACAGATTAAACAGATTTGATGGTTCTATAGCAAATGAGAAAAGCGTTGCATGAACGAAATTCGAGAATTGTGCAACAGCCAACAAAAAATTGACTTTAAGCCTTTTCGACTCTAAATACAAGTATATATTTATATATAAATATATTTATTTGTTTTTTTTGAAAAAAACTTCGCTTATACATATCAAATAATTATATTTTAAGTACGTATCGTATGCATGCTTGTGTGTGTGTGTGTGAGTATGTACAAAAAAGTGTGTGTGCGAGCCAGGCCTCAAAGTAGGCAACGCTTTAGCGAAGCAGCTAAAAGTAGACTGCGATAAATGGCACAAGACGCTTGGCGTTAGACATATCTAAACTAATACAGAGTCTGCAGAGTTTCAATAATATCGCTAAACTAATGGAACACACAATCAACATGCTGCTTGCAAAAGATCTTTCCTTTCCTCGAAGTGTGCAGGATTTATTTGGAAGTTGTCGTACGTCTCAAGATCAAAAATATATAGATATACATATATATTTCGCTTTATTTACAACTTGTCATGCGTTTGTTGTAGTTGTAACTATTCGATTATTAAATAATATAGGCATACAGGTAGTTAAACATATGTATATCAATTGATGCAGTATAATGTACTTATTTAGTGTAGCATAACAAATGAGCAAATTATATCTTATAGGGGCTAAGCGCACAAATGAAATATCCACAAATCGTTTTTAATAATAATTGTGATGATTTTGCCTATATACTGTGAAGCATATATAATATCCGTATAGATAAGTTTATAGAATTTCAATCGTAATTACTTTGACTTTGACTTTTACTTTTTGTGGGCTTTAACTGGAACGTTTAACTGGGCCAATTCACGTAATATAACCAATGACTATATTTATATATATATATATATTTGTTTTGTTTTTGTATATACTATGTATATAATACCTAAACATAGACCACGAGGGTTAAAAAAAAGTAAACATACAATCTTACATATATAAAGAGAGTGCCGTTAGTTATCATAAGTATAAGTAAGAAATGGAAAGCAACCAATGAGAACTTGTACGAACGCAAAGTATCTCGCTTCTGTTTTCCATCCTGTACAATACATGTATATATATATATATATATATATATATATATATATATATATATATATATATCTTTAAATAGTGTATATCCCTAGTAACTAACATGGTAGTTATAGTATTGTAAATTAATAGACACCATTTGCATATAGCATTAACAACGTTTTGAGTGTTCGCTTTCTGGTTTCCTCATTGTGTGCTCATTAATTTCATTCATCCTTTGCATCTTAAGTACAAATCCCTTTAACTTTGTTGCTGCTGCTCCGGCGACTGTACTGCAGCCTGTGTCACTGCAGCCACTGATGTTCCAGTTCCAGCTCCTGCTCCTCCTCCTGCTGCTGCTGTAGCGGCAGCTGCTGATGGCTGCTGTTGTTGTGCCGGCGATGGCGGTGGTCCAAACTTGCTAGTTATCTTGTGCGAGGCATTGACAATAGCCAGCTCATGCTTGGAATCCAAATCACAATCGTAAAGACCGCTGAGCGAGTCCAGGCTGAGCAGGCGCGAGCTGGCCCGACTCGACACCGAGGTGTCATCCACATCGGGCGCATTATACAGCGAGTTGACGTCCGACAGAGCGCCCTCGGCATCGGTCAGGCCTGCCTCGTTCAACAGCGAAATATTCTCCAGGCCAGGCTCATCCGTTATATAGCCTGTTGACTCCGCGCCACCTGAGATGGAGAGAGAGAGAGAGGAGAATAGTTAAGCACTGCTACCAAGGATCTTCGTTCAACTTGTTACCTGTGGCCTCTTCGCGACAATCATCGTCCGACCATTCCGACTGGCTCTCAAGTGGATTGGAGTCCATGGACTGGTGGTTATGATGCGCCGCACCATATTTCAACTCATCGTTTATCACATTCTGCTCCGAGCGCAGGCTGCCATTGGTCAGCGGCGCTGTCTCCCCACTTAGCTGTTCCTGTTCCAGCTCTTCCTGTTGCTGCTGCTCCAGTTCGTTGTTGTGCGCCTGCTGCTGTTGCTGCTGCTGCTTGTCGTTCTTTAACTTATTGTGCTCGCTCTGCAACAGGCGCTTCTGTCGCACATCACGCCCAACCTCATCATCCTCGAACTCCTCATCAGCCAGGTTGTCCTCCGTATCATCGCGTTCCTCCTGCTCCACATGATTGGAGCGCTGCTGTTGCTGTCGCTGCTGATGGTGGTGATGGTGATGGTGATGCCGTTGTCGCTGCGATTGTTGCTGCTGCTGCTGCTGCATCGAGCCATCCAGCCGGTCGAGACTCTCGTAGCTGTTCTGTAGTTCCTTGGAGCGCGGGCGCTGTCGGTACGATCTCTGTTGCTGTTGTTGCTGCTGCTGGTGCTGCTGGTGCTGCTGTTGCTGCAGCTGCTCCTTGGCCGCATGCAGCTCGAGCATGGCCAGCGCTTGCATCTGACTGCGAGTCTCGTGCAATATCTCGCAGGATTCCGTGTCCGAGGTTTGCCTGCAAAATGGTAAAACTTATTAATTTCTGGCTTTTTAAGTCCAGTTAATTTCCTTACAAATTTCTTTGCTGTAAGCAAAAGGTTACAAAATTAAACCCATTTCATAATCATAATTCCAAGCATTATCATCTAGCTGAATTGAGTTCTTAACTAACATCATACGAGTACTTTTAGGATTAGAAGTAGATAGAAAGGAATCAATGCGTTTGCTGCTTGTGGGAGCTGTGGATTCATTCGTGTATCCTGGAACAAAGTCAAGTATTGTCTTGCGCCTCATATGTGTTTGTGTGTGTGTGTGTGCGTATCTGTAGTTTGATCGATTCCACAAACCCAACGATGGATATTTCGCCTCATAGACAGGAGTATAACTAAATATTGTGTTTAGAGCTTGAGAGCAAGCATGGGCTATGGACAATGGGCAATGGGCAATGGGGATGAGAGTGGCTGCTGCTTGGTATTAGAAACATATGGCGAAACGGAGGGCAGTTGCATGGGCCAATGGGTTATAGGTTAGGCTGGCATGTTTTGCTGCTATGGCTTTACTCACATTTGACTGGACTCGGAGGGGTTCTTGTGGCGCGTTATTTCCTTGATGGCCTCAAGGCCGACGGGATGCTTCGAAATCATGAAGCTGCTGCTCATGGGCAGCTTGCCGTTCGCCTGCATCGCCATGGCGATCAGTTCCTGATCCTGTTGCAGCTCCTTGTGGTAGTTGTTGTTGCCGCTATTCGAGTTGCTGCCACCGCTGAGATTCCCATTGCTGCTCGATCCGCCTTCGGTCATTCCCTGGCCCTGGCTCTGGCCCTGCGCATGCCCATTGATGGAGCTCAGCTTACTGTTGCTCGCCGAGTAGCTCAGATCGCCAGTGGGGCGACCACTGCAATTGCTGGTGGTTTGATCGGTATTGATCGTTGCCGCCGTCGAGGCCGAGACTGCGGCCAGGCAACGCGCTCGCGTCGATTCGTTGAGCAGTCTTTGCAGTTCCCTCTCAAAGGGCGACTTGGTGGCTGTCGCTGCAGCATTGCCCGCTGCACCCGCAGCAGACAGCGACACCGCCGCGCCCATGCCCACGCCCGCCTTCTTCTGGTAGTCAAAGCTGTTGCAGCTGTCGCCTTTGGGCTGCGTGTTGCTCGTCGTGTTGCTGGTGGTCAGCTGGCCCTGGCTTTCGGTCGTCAAGCTGAGCTCGAAGTCGCGCAGCTGCGTCATGTCCACAACGGGCGATGTGGGATCCACTTGTATATCGCAGGGATAGAGCCATTGCAGCGGATTGACGCGGCCCACATTGTAGCCGATGCCCAATCCGATGCCGTTGCGCTGCAGATGGCCGCCATTGATGCGCGGCGAGTCCTCGTCGCCCTCGCCCTCACCCTCGGTGGTCTTCGAGTAGCTCTCATCCGAGCTGCTCATCGAGGGCGAGTGCGGCCGTGAGCTGAGATCATCGGTCGATGACATCTCGCGACTCTCCTCCATATCGTTTGGCAGCTTGGGCAGCGGCTTCAAGTAGCTTCTCAATGCCGGCTTCGGTGGCAGCTGCGGCAGCGGTGGTTGCTGCGAATAGAGCGCATATTGGCGATCCGACTGTTGTTGTTGCTGCAGTTGCTGTTGCTGCTGTAGTTGGTGTTGTTGTTGCTGCTGCTGCTGCTGCTGCTGTTGCTGCTGCTGCATTGACAACACGGAGTTGGGACAGGTGTAACGTGGTGGCTCGTACTTTGGCGCATGCTGCATGGGCATGATCTAGGTGTTAGTCGTGAGTGTGGGCGTGGTGCGATAGCATGCAAAAAGTGGAACAGAGTTAGAGACACACAAATATTCAGAAACTTATATATATAGATATATGTATATATAAAACAGATATAGAAACTATCAATTATGGGTCAGCATCCACAAGCGTCGGCAATAGAGTTTCCATAATAATGAATGGGTTTTCTTTGCGCATGTGTGTGTGTGTATGTGTGTGGGTGGCGGATTTGAGAGAAAACTTATTTCTTATAGATCTACCGAGAACATGTTACCATAGAGAGCATATTGTATATGATAATACTATTCATATTGACTCCTTACTGGGTTTGCTAATCTTATAACACTATTTAAATGCTCACATAGAATTTATTTACAAAAAAAAAAAAAAAAAAAAAAAAAAACAATCAACATACTCATTTCACTTCCATGAATGAGTATAAATAGGCTCTTTAATATTTCACATTTCAGGATACTTTGTTTCCCAGAAAACTGTTTAGAATTTTACTAAACTCTGTTGTCCAGTAATTGATGTATATATATATATGTATATATAAATAAACTTAACTCCTGCCAGGGTTTGACATCTAATAGAAAATTTAAATGCTTTAAAGGTAATTGAATTTCTATATATATACATGATAATAAGCTGGAAATATATAGTTTCTTACAAAACATTTACATAGATTTTCTATCATATTCTAACAATAAACAAAATTTAGATTTTCAACAGAATTTTTATCTTAATCATCATCATATAAGCTCCGAACATTTATTTTCTAACTAAAAAATTTTAATTTAAAAAGTAAATATGGAACGTTATAAACAGTTGACATGCTTATAAACGATATATGTATGTACATTTAATATCAAAATATTCTCATTATTTTAAGCCCTGGATATTTAATTTGTAAAACATTTTCTGTACTCTTTAAATTAAAATTTTCCTAACCCGTTTTAAGATAAAAGAGCAAACTTTTTACTCTGCATAACACACACTCATTCACTGTCTCCCCCTCTCTCTCTCGCTCTCACACACACACACCCAGACACATGTCGCTTGAACAGGTAAAATATACCGTCACTTTATGCATGCTTTGGTATTAGTTACAAATGGGTGGTTTGGACAGTGGATTGGCTGGTCGGCTGACTGGCTGGTTGGCTGGTTGGCTGGCGGATTGGCACATTAGACAACGGCTGGGAATGGGAGCGAGCCTCATTCAGAGTAGTATCTCTTTGCTCCAGATCATGAGGTCAACGTCTTCACTCACCTTGGCTACCGGCGCGACGCTGCTGGCATGCAATAGCGGCTCGCTCTCCCGGCAGTGGCCATAGCCCAGGCTGGAGGACGATGGCTGAAGCTGATTCATATGCTGATGCTGGTGATACAGATGATGCAGTGGGTGATGCTGGCCATGCTGGTTAAAGGGCAGCGCCGGCGGCGGCGCATAGCTGCGCAGCTGTTCGCGCCGCGGCACCATAAAGCAATCACCGCCCAGCACACCGACCACAGCAGCGCCATCAAGACTATTGGCATGTTGTGGCCGCTGCGCGGGCGGCAATTGCTCCAGCTGCTGTTGCTGCTGCTGATGCTGCTGCAGCTGTTGATGCCTGCCACCGGTATTCGGATTCTCAATTATATTGAATTCGCGCAACATTACCGAAGGAATGGACTGGTTCTGGAGCTGGTGCTGGATCTGGTGCTGGTGCTGGATCTGGAGCTGGTGCTGGAGTTGGAGCTGTTGTTGCTGCTGCTGTTGCTGTTGCTGTTGCACTGCAACAGTGAGTGTTGCTGGCGCCATATTTGTGGTCACATAGTGCATCTCGCCATTGTGTCCATTCTCCCGGATATTGGGCAATCCCCCATTGGTCATGAAATTGGGCTGCTTCTGCAGCTTGCTGTTGAGCCGCTGCTGCTGCTGCTGATGCAGATGGTGGTGCTGTGTGGGTGGTGCGGGCAGCGGCTGTTGGTGCTGATGCTGCAGCAGCAGCTGCTGCTCCTCGCCGCCACACACATTATACAGATGGCCATTATCCTTCTTGCTGTAGGTGTCCGTATTGAGGCGATTCTCCTGGAACTGTGAGGCCTTCTGATAGTACTCGGCTGGGTGCAGGCCGCCGCCAGCATGTGACACCGACTGCGTATCATTCGCCGCCGACGTCCGGTTGCTGATCATAGCGTTGCGCACCTCGCCATTGAGCGCATTGCTGCTGCTGTCGCAGAGGAAATAGGTGACCATGTCGCCCTTGCCCTTCACCTTGATGGTGCCGCGACAGCGGAACTCAAAGTGCGAGCCAACCAAGCTGTCCACCACCTCCTGGGTGACCTGCGAGTAACCGGGCACCCCGGTCGAGTCCATGCGACTCGCCACATTTACCGTGTTGCCCCAGATATCGTACTGCGGCTTCCGGGCTCCAATCACGCCCGCCACAACGGGACCAATATTGATGCCTGTGCGGGAATGGGAATACGATTAGGGAGAGAGGTCTACTAGAGATGGTACTGGTGTTGGAATACCCACCCACGCGCAGCATAAAGTTATTGTAGGAGTGACTATTGATCTCCTGCAGGGAGAGCCGCATCGCCTTGACGTATTCGACCAGCGCCGTCATGTGACGCCGCACCGAGTTGGGATCGTTGGGCTGAATCTTGTACTCGGGTATGAGGCCAACCACAGCCATGTAGGTGCTGCCCACGGTCTTGATCTTGTCAATGCCCCGAAAGCGATCCTCCTTGAGCAGCTCATCAAAGTCCGCAATTATCTCGTTGAGCAGGCGCAAACACTCCAGCCCCTGATCCGAGCCATCCATCTCAGTATAGAACTCATTGAAGTTCGGCACACTGGCGAATATGACGCCCACCTTGGCGTAGCTCTGATGATAGAGCTCCTAAAATAAAGCAATCGACGATTTGTGTGTCAACGGGTCAGTCAGCGGGGTCTGCGCAGAGCGTAGGGGGCGCTCTCTCAATTCTCTTACCATGTTATTACGAAATTGCGCATCGAGAAAATGTGCAGCCACATGAGCGGGCAGCAAATTGTGCAAAATGCGCTTATTCGACTCCTGCAGCACATCCATTTCCTTCTTCTCCTGCGAGGCCTGCAGCTGCCAGAGGAAGTCCAGCCGGGCGGTGCCCTCCACCAGCCGTCCGTGCACCAATATCGCAATCATAAAGATGACAATGCGCGCCAATGAGATCAAATGAAGCGGAATAGATGCTCTAAAATGATAGATTTAGATATATATACATATAAGAATCGATTGTATATATATGTATATATTTATGGGTCAATCGGATAACCCTTGAACACCTACTTGACACGACTGTCGTAGCAATCAAAGATGTTCTGATGCGACAGCTCAATGAACAGGCCATAGATGGTGCCCATGCCCAGCACGAGCAGCGACTTGAATATAATCGGCAATCTACAAGGAGCAAGGTCAGATTGTTTCGAAGAACTCTGAGGCAGTCCCAGACGGCAGCTAGACTCACCTGAGAAACACGGATACGGAGAGAAAAGCAAAAGCCGCCGATAGTGAGACGTACTGCGGCAAGGAGCACTTGCGATGGGAGTCGTTCTGTTTGCTAATCAGCGGTGACATATCAAGTCCTTGCGAGTCCAGGGGCTGGACGTCCACATAGGTTCCATTATCCCAGCAGGGATGATCCGACACGCAGGTGAACTGCAGGTAAACAGATTACAAGAGCGGCTCACTTAATATCTCATCATTGGTTTCAGCTCGTTCCGCACTTACCACATTCACCTGGCCCACGGAATAGATGAGTATAATCGTGAATATTGTGATGGCCATTCGCAGCGAGAAGCTCTCGGATATGTCCCAGATGATCCACTTTAGGCGAACGGCCAGCAGGAGCATCAGTATGGCGCTGACCCAAATGAAGGCCGTGAGGAACAACAGCAGCAGGATGAGGGTGCGGGGTAATGCGGTCACCTGCAAGGCGGCGCCCAGTATTAGCAACAGCAGCGAGCAGCCCATGGCCGTGGTGAAGCCCAGATCGAAGTCCTTGTGATATTCGCGCTCCTTGTCGCTCTGCCGGAAGCGCAACGTCAATCGATCCACATGCTCCGACTTATCACAGTCCACGGAGCGGGCATTTATGGCCTGGGAGAGGAAGCGATTCACCCGATTCGTCGGCTGATGATGGGCGGCCACCGAGTGACGTTTGCGGAACGGTCGCTTGAACTTGTCCGCGACTTTCGACTGTGACTGTAGGGGAATAATGCAGGTAAGACAAAATGGGTTCAGTTAGTGCTAATTGCTGTTCTCGGTTGGCTCTGGGCTGGTAACTGGTAACTGGTAGCTGGTAACTGGTAGCTGGTGGCTGGAGTGCTGGCTTGTTGGCTAGATCGAAGAGATCTGGTACAGTACCGAGTACAAGATGTTGTACACACTAAATGGGTCTAGGGCATGCAGTCGAGAGCAGAGCTGTGTAGCGGCATGCTGTGTGAGATTTGACGAAACTACCGCGACTGGGCGAAACATGACGAAACATGAGTGCGTCACGACTGGACATGCGGTAAATGTGTGTGAATGGAGGCCAATCGCAGATTTGAATTGATGTGAACGACTTAACGATGCTTGGCGAGACTTAACGAAACTTATCATGAACGAACGCTTAACGCATACATACATATGTAGAAAGCCCGCCCCAAGAGAGAGACTAGAAAGCAATAACACTTACTACATAAAAGATTAAAAAAAAAAAAAAAACAACTAAATATTAAAGTTAAAGTTAATTGCAATGATAGAAATAAAAACTTAACGAATCGTACACTAATGAGTTAGCAAAACGGCACGTAACGCTTGAACATGAACGAACGTGTACAGTACAAGACACAGACAGCACAATAGTTAACGAAACACAAAACTGAACGAATGTGAACGAAAATTAAACATTTGTTTGCTTGCTGCTCTGCTCACTTTATTGTTCTTGTGATTGTGCCTATGTATGCGACTAATCGTACTCGCTGTTGAATTGGGACTTGTGCCTACGGTCACTTGAACACTGCCCGCCCCGCCGCCGCCGTCGCCGCTGCCGCCGCTGCCGACGACGCTGCCATAGCCGATGCCGTGCGGTGGCGGGGTAGCATGCAAGATTTTCTGTAGACGTATTACCTAGATCAGAGAAGTATACACAGTATTTCATATTGTATATATATATATATAGTTTTATGTATATATATCTATGAATATATATAGTATGTAAGCGTATGTATATTTACTTATGTATTTAGAAGAGGACAAAAAAAAACAGATAAATTAAAATGATTGTATCAAATAAACGAGAAATCGAATAACGGCAACGATAACGATAACGATAGTTAAAAGTGATATAGGATTAAGTTAAATATAAATATAGATCAAGTTTGAGATAGAGAAAGAGAGATCAAGGGTATAATTAGCTTAAAATAAAGGCCAAATGAAACGGGACAAAACAAACTTAACGAACGCGCAACTAAACTGTAAACCAGAAATCGGAAATCGGGAGCTTCAACTGAAACTTTGATAGCAGATAGCAAAAGATAAGTTTAGAGTGTCAGTTTAGCGTTTAAGTGTTGTTATGCATACTAATTTTGATGCTATATGTATATCGTTTAATTTGTTGCAATTATTATTCAAATCATTTCGGTTTTAGTGTGCCTAAAGCTTTTGGTTTAATGTACTTAACTGATCTTCATTGTTCGATTGTGTCACGTGTGCCCTGTGTGCGTGTGTGTGTGTGTGTGTGGGTGTGCTTGTGTGTGTATTTAATCGTTTGCTGTTAGTGGGTATTACCAATAAGTCCAATAAGTACAATTCACTTCTGCTACTCTTTACACACAAAGTACGCACAACATCAACACAAACACAATAGACGAAGGTTTTCATTTTTATTTATACACGATAATTATTAAATTTTTTTTTTTTTTTTTTTTTTAGATATATAGTTTTTGGCCAGTAGAATACAGATGTTAGTAGATACAACAGTACGGATAACAAATCACAAATTACGAAATTACGAATCAAAAGATAATATTTACTGATGAACCAACTGTTCTACGCATAAGAAAAAAAAATGAAGACTTTGATTTTTATAAATAATGCAAAATATTGCATCTACGAAACAAAAGAGCCCACATAATATTTAAAAACAAAAAAACTGGGAAACAATAATCGTTGGGACAGAGTTTTTGGGCTGGGAATTTGGGTACATTTCATACTATACTTATAAGTAAGGCAAACTTACCGCATCCTGAAAGTAAACGAAAAGAAAGGAATCAACGAAAGAAATCATAAAGAATTGTCGCAGTTTACATCAAGCCGACGGCAGTCTATTGAGATTCGAGTGTATCCATGGGATACGATTCGAGAAACCGATAAAAGCGACAAAATGCGAACGTAACTGACCCACACAATTAAGCTCCGCATAGAACCAAAGACTGTATATACATATAAGTATGAGTATATATATATATTTCTGTATATATATAATAAGTATATACGGACATGCACATAACTGAGCTACGACTACGGAGCTACTACAGCGAGTCTGTAAACTCTAGAAACACTGGACTACGGCCTTTCAACTATAGACTATAGACTATATATATACTGTATAATAATGATGGGGGAGACTATTAATAGTGGGCATTGAGCACTTACCTTGCGCGAACCCTTCTCCGACACCTGGACACTGGCAGCGGTCGCATCGGTGCTACTGCCACGTGCCGCGCCGCCGCCCAGGGCGGCAGCCGCCGATGGGAACGAACCGGTGGCAATGTTGGAGAACGGCACCGGCTCCGAGAACTTGATGGTGTGCAGCAGCTGCATGACCACGTTCGAGACGTTTCTAAATGATAGCTTGCGCCGACTACCGATCGCCGAGCGTACACCAAGCGTGTTTAGCATTAGGGGCTGCAGCATAGACACCAATACACATACACGGCGCGCGTGAAAGAGAGAGATAGAGAGAGAGAGAGAGAGAGAGAGAGATGGACATGAGAACGAACGCTACAAAGCGACTGCATCTAATTGGGCTGGCTAAGCTCACTCGACTCACCTTGCGTCGGTGCGGCGGCGGCACAATGAAGAACGTATCCACGCCGTGATCCCGCAGATACGATGAGCGCTCATCGCCATGACCCGCCTCCACCTCGTACTCGCCCGACAGCGAGTCGAGGGTGGCGCGCGTCACATGCACTCGGCCCGGCTCGCCGCCGGACTCCATGTGATTGGCCAGCGTGACATCATTGGACCACACATCGAACTGCCACTTGCGCAGCCCCAGGACGCCGCAGAGCACACGGCCCGTGTGGATGCCCACGCGCATGTTCAGGATGACATCGGTAGCCTCTACGACGGTGCTGTATAGTAGCAAGGAAATTAATTAAAGACTGGACTCCAAGAAAGTGGAATAAAATTCAATTTGCATTGATTATGGGAGATCATGATCCGAGATCAACAATTCACTCTCTCAGCATTCATGTGAAAGCTGAGATATACTCACGCAATGGCATCGATCATATCGAGTCCCATTTCCACGGCGCATTTGGCATGATCCTTGCGAGGCTCCGGCAGGCCGGAGACACAGTAATAGCAATCGCCCAATATTTTGATGCGCAAGCAGTGGTTATCCTATAAGGATGAGAAGGAGATAGAGAGAGAAAGGGATATATTTACGATCTACTTATTTATATATATATATATTTTTTTTTCTTTTAATTTAAAAATAAAATGGGGTTTGTTGAAACTCAAAAAATATATGTATATATATCCTGTTTTTTTTTTTTTTTTTTTTTTTAATTTAAAAAAATTTTTCTCTTAAAAAATTGTTTCTAAACTATAAGAGAGAAAGAAAGAGAGAAGTTTGACCTCCTTTTTTTTTAATTAGGAAAAACTTTTGTAGCAGTCTTTTCTCTTTCTCCATCTTTTATTTTTTAATAAAAAAAATCGATGCTTGATTTAAGGAATTGTTGTGCAACTCACATGCGCCAGCTGATCGAAACGACCGAAGAGCTCGTTGAGCAGCCGCACCAGCTCCTGGGCGCTGCACTGAGAGGAGAGCACAGTGAAGCCGACTATGTCCGCAAAGAGAATGCTCACGTTCTCGTGCTTCTGTATGTAGATGCGATGGAATTGGCCCGCCACTGGCGACAGAATGTCGTTCTTCATCTGCATGGCCACGTGCTGGGGCAGCACCGAGAGCAGCAGTCGTTCCAGTTTCTCATTTTCGTCCTGAATCTCCAGACGTGCCGCGATGCAGTTGCGCGTGTCGAGGAACGCCCGGCGCTGGGCGCGCTCCATCATGATGTTGACCACGAGGCCAGCCACGTTCACGCCAATAAAGATGACAATGTTGGCAATCAGCTGAGTATACTCCAGGCCTCGCAACGCGCCCGTAAATATCATGTAGACCGTGATACTGATGTGCACCGATGGCAGCGAAATGCCAAAGGCGACTGCCTCCCAGATCTGCAGCGGCATCATGGCATACGCCAGAAAGACGACAAACACTATCTGCCAGACGCCCTCGGCCATCACCTCCCTGGTGTCCACTGGAAAGGCGCGGCCCACCGTCGGCATCGAGACTATGCAAATGCTGGCCGTGAACAGCAGGATGCCATAGCACAGCGTGGGCAAGTGGTGATCCTTGATCACCGAGCATTGCAGCAGCACCAGCACAACGGCGAAGAGCACACACAAAATCGAGTTGAAGATGTTCTGAAATAAAATTTAATAGAAAATTTAATGAAATTCGTCAATCATTGACTGTATTATATTATATAGTGAGTATTCAGTAATTACAGGTAGTAAGAGCAACTTTTGAACGTGGAATCGTCAGAGCGCGATTGCCGCTCTCCCTATGCTCGTTTACTCTGTGTGAGCTTTCCCTGTGCTCGCCCACCCAGTCCTCGCTTCTCCCTGTGCTCGTTCACCTAGTCCTCGCTTCTCCCTATGCTAATTCATTCTATACGAGCCTGTGCTTGCTTTTATTATGCTCGTTCACCCTGTTCTCGTTCGCCTTGTGCTAGCTCAGTATGCTCTCGGTCACCCTGTGTTCGCGCAACTTTCACTAGCTCACCCTGTGCTTGCTTCAACTGTACTTACTCCCACAGCGCTTCCTATGCTCGCTCTCTCTACGGTGTGTTCAGTCCTCCGGTCTTGCTCACCCTGTACTTCACTTCAGTTGTGCTCACTCACCATGAGCTCGATCGCCCTGTGTTCACTCAAATTTCTCTAGTTCACCCTGGGCTTGCTTTTACTGTACTCTCTCTAAGCCTCGCTTTTACTGTGCTCACCCTGTAGGCGCTTACCCTGCACTCACTTTCGCTTTACTTACTCTCGTTATGCTCGCTCACCCTATGCTACAGCTCAGCATTTTTAAATTGGAACAAAAATCGAGCAGTTGAGCAGAACGTGGCAACTTGGATAATTCGAGCCCTACACAGGACAAGTATGAATCACTAAGAAGCGAACACACTTCTTGAACTAGCCTATTAAATTTACGAGATAAAAATGTCCTAAATACGATCTCAAATTTTAATCGAAATAAATTGTTTACTAAATGCTTCATATATTATATATTATTTATAATTTTTCAATCGATTTACCAATACCGCTTTAAAGTCGCCAGAAAATCCCATTTATTTATCCGATAATAAAGTTCTGTTCTCTTTAGCTCCTACATACAATATATTCTCAAACATTAATCGAAATATAATTGTATGATTTTATATTGAATATTCTATGTAACTTATAGAATAATACTATCTAATTTGTCTTCAATTCATAGCCTTAGCTTAACTCTCATAATATTTGAGGTAGTTTTGCATAAACTGAAAAACATAATTAGACCATTTCGACTACTATGAATTCTATAAATAGTGTAAGTAGATTATAAGTACTTATAGCAAACAAATCCTTCAGAGCTATCTCTGTTCATATCAACTACACTGGAAATCCCCTTTGATACTTTAAGCCAATTAAACTTGCACTCAACTTGCTACTATTTATAGTTGGTAAAAGCAAAGAACCCAACTAGAGGGCTCAACAATCCGGAACTAGTTAATGCAAACGAAAAGTTTTGCATGAACAGGGCGCAGAGTACTCACATGAAAGGTGGCCGCATTGTTGAAGGCCAGGGACAGGGCGGCCATCACACCGCAGAGGACCAGGACCAGTGCGACGACGCCCAGCACGGAGAAGCGCTGCAGCTTGAGGGTGTAGCGCTGATAGAGGCATTCCAGTTCATCGTTCTCGAAGCGCAGCGTGTTGAGCGGGCGGCCGCGCGTCGCCTTGACGGCATGATCCATGCGGCTGCCGTCGCCGCCGCCGCCGAGCGGCTGCTCTCCAACGGTCTGCCAAGTTCAAGGGCTGCAATTGAACGTAAACAAGAAATTTGTTGCGTGAATTCGTTTATTTGCATTGATTTTAAACACCATCAGCCCCTCGCTCCCTCTCCCCACCTCTTTCTCTTTCTCTCACTCTCTCTCTCTCTCTCTCTCTGATTCTTTTAATTGCTGCGCTTCGACCTTGAAATGTTGCACGTTCGTTCGCTGGGTGAAATGTTTTGGCATTTTCCGTGGCACGCAATCACTGGGTAGGAAAATGTGCCGCCTGCTAGCCGGCACCCACCCGCCCGCTGTCGCACCACTTAAAATAACATTTTCATTTCAAAAACCCTTCGCCAGTCGCCCCCCGCTAACTTCACGCCAGCTGAAAATAACCGCTAAAAATAAGCAGCTCAGCAGCTCTGTGGCTGCTTTCTGGCGTGAAATCAATCAATGTTCATGTCCGTTCGGTCAGCTTTTCTCATTTCTCGTTTTCGTTTCGTATATATAAGTATATTCTTTTATACACATATACATATATGTATATTTGCGTGCCACGCCCACGCCCATGACACAAGCGCCCAGGCGGGCCACATACTTATGCCCGCTGCTGCGGCGACAGAAGATAAATGATGATTTGTATGCGGCAATCCGTTAAATTCATTAAAATATTATGCACAAATTCATTTAGCGAATGCTCAAAAGTACTCGCACATAAAGTATCCGACAAGTCAGCGTAAACAGCATGGAATACCAGAGATGTGCACAGAAATAGACGAGAGCAGCAAGCTCGACTAGAAGATACCCAATGGAGAAGTAATTGAAGGTGAGGCGTTAAGCAAATATTGCAGTTGAATTAACTGGATAAAAATATTGTATTTGAGCTTCTCTGTGAAAGAGAAGATCTTGTCTGAGTGCGCTGGCAGGCAGTGCTCGACTAGAAGATACCCATTGCAGAACTAACTGGTAGTGATATTTTAGCAAATATTGCAGCTGAGCTAACTGGGCAAATATATTGCATTTAAGCTTGCATATGAAAGAGAAGATCTTAGAAGAGTGCGCTAATAGGAATTGCTCGACTAAGAGATACCCATTGGAGAAGTAATTGAAGGCGAGGCGTTAAGCAAATATTGCAGTTGAATTAAAAGGAAAAAAATATTGTATTCGCTTGCATATGAAAGAGAAGATTTTGTAAGAGTGAGCTAATTAGGAGTGCTCGACTGGAAGATACCCATTGCAGAACTGACTGGTAATGATATGTTAGCAAACATTCAAGTTGAACTAACTAGCCAAATATACTATATTTTATGAAAGAGAAGATCTTGTAAGAATCCGCTGACAGGCAGTGCTTGACAAGAAGATAGCCATTGCGGAACTAACTGAAGGCAGTTGGCAAATATTAGAACCATTGGAGTTTGCATAAGGGTAATAAGAGCATATAAAAGTATGCTCGACATGAAGATACCCTGACTCAGCTATTTCAAATGTAAAACAGAGAAAAATCAACCATTTTTGCAATCTGTGTATTCATTACGTAAAAATCCAAACTCAATGTGCTATATAAGGCCTTTGGGATTGTCAAGTTCTGGTTCAAATACTACCTCAAATATCAATATTTAACTATATGTATAGATAGTTAAGTAATCAACTGGAATATGGGTACAACAAAAAGAAAACATATATTAAAATTAATATTCTATGGCTTTGCCATGTACTCGTATACTCGCAACAAACAAATGAATCGACAGATAGGCAAACAGACAATTTTAGTATGTACAGTATATACTACTTACAGCCACGCCTCCTTCTGCCTGTTACACACAATCGCACAAGATAATTATACACCTTATACACATTCACAACGAGCTCAGGGCATGCAAAGAGATCACAAGAGATGCACAAAGTAATTCAAGCAACCGAGAGATCAGGGCTCAAATTCCAGCAAGAAGCAATACGATGATAATTATTATGCATTATATGTACTTGCATAATAACCACACCGATTACTTTGCCAATACCAAAATTCGTATTTAGTCTTTTAATACTTCATAATCTCTTTGATGCGTTTCGCTGACAATTAACGGAATCTAATTGTACAGTTGAAATGAGTTCATTGACGACAGCAATGAAATGAACTGAAGCACCTCGGCAATTTATTAGACACATAAATATGCGGGTTAATATTAATAATAAACAATGAAAATATTTCACAAAACCACACGAATTTCATTTGACGCAAATTTATAAAATGCGGTGTGAAATATTTACAATTGCATAACTCAAAAAAAAAAATAATAAAATAAAATAAATAGAATAAATAAAATACATTTTGAAACAAGTCGGGCACTTGCCGTGCCGCAAATAGAATTATTGGACAAGCCCACACGCACAAGCACACACGCACACACACACACACACACATACATCCGCAAGCATTATAGAATGGGTAGAAAAGTTTTGGATTTGCTTTGGAGGCGGTTTGCTGCTTGGTTCAGGGGAAGGCGAGCCACAAAATATAACAAAAACAAATAAACATTAAGTATGTGAATATGTGAATATAAATTAAAAATATTCACGTCCTAAAATCATAATCATAAATGCCGAGAAATTGCAAAATGCGCGCACATCGAAATTATTAAAGCTGCCAAATAGGTAAGAAATCGTCGAGCGAGCGGAAAAGATAGACAACAAACAAACGCAAACGCCACGAGCAAATAGTCAGAGTCAGTCATTACAGTAGTACAGTAGTTGTAGTACATTGCACACCCCAAAGCCCCACAGCCCCACAGCTCCAGCCCCTGCCCCTGGCCCTGGCCCAACCCCAGGCCCAGATCGAATCAGCTGTTCAAATAGTAGCAGCTCGCAAATGTTTCGATATGGCGATATATAAAACAACATATGAGCTATGCTGATATATAGATAATACCTCGCAAAATTCTCTGGCGAGGTTCAACGAATTGTTGAACCGAATTGAGTTGGAGTCAAGCTCAAATATTGATTAATTAGTATAGACAGCATAAATAAGCCGAGTAGTGAATTGTACGAGAAACAATTAAACAACACACGCAGAGAAACAAAACAAATGAACATGGCCAGAGAAGCGCATAAAAAACTGCAGAGAGAGGCAAGTCGAAAGGCAAAGCGAGAACCAGGTCAGTATTAAAGAAATCAACTAAAGAGAAAACTAAAACTCAAGCGAGAACCAAGGTTCAAGGTGACGCCAGGTGAAGGCAGCCATAGAAGCAAATTAGAAGTCAAATGTGAAAAGCTAAGCTCAAAAGAAAATAGAAATAAAAATTAAAATTGAGTTAAAATACAAACTAGCTAGTTTACGGCCAGTAGATAAGTGAGTTTACGTTTTAGTCAGAGTTGACAAAAATGCACTTAAATTTCATTCATAAAACGAAAGATGAAAACAAATTTAAGAAAAGTGGGCAAAGAAAAAGTTTTTTATTTTTTTTTTTTTATACGAGGTACTTTATCAGTAAGACCTGAGAGTTCTACGGTCACCCTTTCAAGTCTAAATTTGTCGTAGATATATACTATGTAGATATAGACAGATAGATATGGATAGATGGATAGATAACAGATAATAACATATAGGATAGATAACAAGGAAAATATTAATACCTGATATTTCGAGTTTTGCAAAATAGTTGTATATGAATTTAAATTAATTCCAATAAGCTCAACTCTGATGATAGTACGACTGTTTAATATTAACTTATTTGCAATCTCTAAATGATGATGATGATGATGATGCTGTCGATATTCTCCAACTCATTTAAATGCATGCAGCTAATAGCTCTGTGGGCACACAATGTAATGGGGGGATTGATTGCTGTTTGCTAAATGGCGTCATCTAACGGTGATCTGTTTGCCGCAGGTGACATCTAGTCGAGCATTACATTATAAAGTGACTTGCCAAAAATCGCATGATGTTCTTGCCAGTCTTGCGGACACGCGCAATTTGGTTGACCAGCAAGTTCTTGGCAGCAATGTGGCTCCCTCTATCCGGTCCGGTCCGCCCACACAGCAACAGCAACAAAAGCATTTTTAAATAATCAGAAAAAAAAAACGAGAAACAAGAACAAAGAAAGGCAAATATCAAAAACAGAAAGTAAAAGAAAATGGTTAGGCAAAAACCGAATGTCAGAAAAACACGAAAATTTCTTGTGATTTTCAATGTTTCCGCTTTGACGGATGCATGTGAGCAGCTTCTACGGGGCGCTTAATGAATTTCTTTGCCAAGAAAAAAAAAAAATCAAAACGGACGTTTACTCAATTAAAGGCCACGCCCTCCTGCCAGCCAGGGGGGGGGAGGAGGGCTTCGGGGCTGTCAATCAATGGCGACAAAATTGCAAATGCAGCGTCATGTAAAAGTCTTCAATTAGAATTTTGCACAGATTTCTGATTGCAGATTTTTCGATTTTACGATTTTGTCGATTTGTCGTCTGTCCGACTGTTTGAACAGTAAGACCCAATTTTCGATTGTATCAATTGACAGCAATTAAGAGTCGCAGACGTCCGGCCATTAATTATCATTAGCAAGCAGCAATTGATGATTATCGTTAGTTTGAGAAGACTTTTGTGATTTGGTGCGCGGCGGCAGAATGAAGCAAATATGTGTAATTATAATCAATTCAATTATAAATTTCCAATTGCCAAATACCGTATATAGAAACGCTCGCCGTCTGCCCAGGAAGCTCGACCAAACAAATTAAGCACAAGCCAAACAAATGCCAACGGCACACAACACAGCGAAAACAAATTGACGCACACGCCGGAAAAACATTGAGATACAATTGGAAAAAAGGAAACCAAAAAGTGCCTCACACAAATACAAATACAAATACAAATGCAAACACAAATACAAATGTTTAGCCAAAAGCCAGAAGCCAGAAGCCACTTAATGTGTGTACAAATAATTTTATAGCTTCTTCTCTGGCGCAAATGCAACTCAATTAAATTGGATTAGTATTGATCATAGCTGGCGAATTAATGAACCAAAATTACAGTTAATGAATGACTTCTTCGATTACG